AAATAATAAGGAAACTTGATATAAGCCATCAAAAAGAAAAAAATTTGGCTTGACACATTTGTTATATCCTTGATCGTCGTACACTTCACATATATTTTAGGGGTCAAAGGAGGCAGCGCTCCTTAGCAGAGTTCGTCCTGCCATGAGGATATTTTTGTAATTCAAATTAACAAATAAAATGTGAATACTCTAATTATTTCTTTTTGTATTTGGTTCATCGTACCCTAACAATAATACATATACACAATGTGTTTAATAATGCTGAGGGCAATTGCCTAAATACCATAGTATTTTAAAACTTTGATGATAGGACAATTGCCTAAAAACTCTTATAATAAAGATTAAAAAATAGACGAATAGGATCAAATTTCCTAAAGAATCATATAATAATTTTTTTAATTTTTTTTTTTTAAGAGGGGCAATTGCCCCCCTTAGCTAAAGAGGAATATGCTTCAGGCTCCAATGAAATCGAAAATAAGAGCTTCCAGACTGGAAGTAATAATTTATCTATTTTCTAATCTCTTTGGATTTTCTTGTTTTCTCTCTCTTAATTTTGTTAACAAAAGTCATGACAGTCTCTTGTAGGTACTAGAGATTATTAAGTATAAATCTCAAAACTAATCAAAATCTCTTCAAAGGAAAAAATATGTTTTCTGTCTGTTAGGGATTCGCAGCCGCTTTGCTCCGGGTGTTCCCCTGCCCTGCTGGGGCTTTCCCTCCGGTGAGCATCTGGATTCAGGGAAGTTCTCTTTTTTCCTGTTATCCACTTCTGTTTTGGTGGGTGTTTTGGTTGGTTTTCTTGTTGTTCTCCGGCGGTCCCGGTATGGCGCCTAGTAAGCTTAAGGACCTTAGTTTTTTAGGTGGGGTTTCTCATTCTCATTCTTTTCTTGAGGCTCTTGCTGGTTCTACGCCTTCTTACCCGGATTTTCGGACTTCTACGTTTCGTGGCTTGCCGTCTTTATGGATTTCTAACCAGGAAATAAACGATCTTGCTGCCCCTTTTCAATTCTCGTTAGTTGGTTTTTTTCCTCCTAAGAGACCTGCTCTTGACTATATCAGGAAATTTTTCTTAAAATTGAAGCTTAAAGGAGAAGTTTCTGTTACTATGTTGGATCCCTCTCACATTTTGATCAAGTTATCCAATGATCTTGATTATTGTAGTGTGTTATGTCACCGATCTTATCTTATCTTTAATTGCTATATGAAATTAACAAAATGGTCGCCTAGCTTGGATATCAGTGTTGAGTCGCCGGTTATTCCGATCTGGATTTCATTTCCGCATCTTCGTCCTCACTTCTTCTCCCCTCGGATTCTCTTTGGGCTTGGTGGGATTTTTGGCAAGCCTTTGAAAATTGATGAAGCTACATCGGTTGGTTCCCGACCTTCTAATGCTCGTGTTTTAGTCAAACTTGACATAACAAAATCTTATCCTAAGCAAGTTTGGTTAGGCTCTGAAACTTTAGGTTATGTCTAGGAGGTTGTGTTAGATGAATTTCCTCATTTATGTGCTGCCTGTAAATGTATTGGACATACTCCGGGTAATTGTCGTCCTATTTCGGCTGGGTTTCCTAATGATTCTTCTATCCCTAATTCTTTTATCCCGAGCGCTAATTTAGCCCCCCACTGTGTTGAAAATGTTGATAATGTCGCTGCTCCTTCTATGCTGGAGGTTTTGGGTAGTGATAATGTTAATACTGTGGTGGTGCTTGATGCCTTGCCCACTGTTGGCTCACCGGTTTGTTCTCCTGATGTTGTGGGATCTCCTGCCCCATTGGCTGGTGTGCTGCCTGGTGTTGAGGTTGGAGTTGTTTCGGCCCCAGCTCTGGTACCGGTTAATACCGATGTTTTGGGTTGTTGTCCTGTTTTGGTTCAGATCTAACCCTCGACTTCTTTGGGTGTCGAAGCTTTATCCCCTGACGCTCAACCTTTTATTCCGTTGGGTATCAATTTGGCCTCCAATCGTGTATGTTTTAGTGCTGAGGCCCTTCCTCGTGAGGCTCCTTTGGTATCTGTGAGGTCCGCCCCTTCTGCTTAGGTGGTCATTCGTTAAATTCTGAGATGTTGGATAGCCCGGTTAAGTCTAATGCCGTGGAGATTTTGGGTGAGGAAGTGTGTAAGGTGGCTGATTCTGATATCTCTACCCCTATTCGTAATGATCGCATAGTGAATAATGAGTTTGTTGATGTTCCTGTTACTTTTATGGAGTTTCAAGCTTTAATGTATAATGTTAAGGATAATTCGGGCATTTATTTGCGAGTTAAGCTGGACTTGCTTCATGACTATAGTTCTGATTCAGCTTCTGCTTCTGATTCTGTTTATGATTATGTGGAATCTACCAGAGATGGTGATCCTGACAGTTCTTTTAATTTGTTGTGCGATCAACCTCTTATTTCTGTTGCCTCCTGTGGTAGGTCTTGTGGCCGGGGCAGACGTGGTCGCTGATTCTTGGATTTGAGTTGTTGATTATGTTGCTTTTCTATCGTTGGAATGCCTCTGTGGCTTGTTGGTTGACCGTTTAAATGGTTCTGATATGGACGATGAGGAAGCAGCTTTGCTGCAAGTGTCGTGGATGGCCAGGGTTGGTTGGCAACCTGGTTGGCCCTTCGATTTTGTTTTGTCCAGTGGATGGCCCCGCCCTAGCAACCCGAAGCTGGTCTGAGTCCGATTTTATCGACCCTTATCCTTATTGGTCTTTGCTTTGTTTTTATTGTTTCTCTTGTAACCATGTGTTGTGGCCACTTCTGTGGTCTACTTTTGTACCTTCCTTTTATTAATGAATTGCTGTTTAAAAAAATGATAATAACTAGAGATTATTAAGTGTGGAGTGCGGACGGGGAGAACCGTCCGCACAAGCATTGTTCGGCGCTAGGTACCGGCACTTGATATCGATGAATACTGCTGGATACTACTAGATACTCAATATTTATACGAATGATGCGTATTCCGCACCTAATAATTTTTGTGCAGGTGCGCTCCATCAGATTCCAATAATATACCTCTCCGCAACAACAGCTTAGCAAATTCATGCATTTTCGTCTGACAGGCATGCATGCATTAATTAGATATATATTTTTTAATTTTTTAATGGCGTAATAAAGTGCAAGTATTTTAATATTTTTAAAACAATAAATAGTCAATATGTTTGTGATATCCTCACAAAAAATATAATCATAATATAACTCAAAACTTTTAAAATTATTATTAAAGTTTTGCAATATTATTTAAAAAAAACTTATATTTGTATTAAAATTTTGTTGGGATGGACTTTAAATGATATCCTATATTTTTTAGGATGAATGTGAAATAAATTATTTATATATTTTAAGTTGAATTATGATATTAACGGCCATCATAATAATTTTTTTTAGTCAATATATCTTAACATAATTATATATTTATTAATATTTATATATTGCACTCATTTCGATATTATATACTCATTATGACTAAAATAATGAAGGTTCAATTCG